GAAAGGGAGTGGACTGACAATTCTTGGGGGGAAAGGGGTGTGGGGGTGCAGGAAGAGACTGGACAAAAATTGTACACCTATGGATGAGGACAGTGGGAGGGGTAAGGGCAGAGGGTGGGGTGGGAGCTGGGTGGAGGAGAGCTATGGGGGGAAAAAAAGAGGAACAACTGTAATAATATGAACAATAAAGATTTAATTAAAAAAAAAGTCTGTTAGATTGACCCATAGTGTTGCTTGAAACGATAGTTCATTATCTTTATGGTAGTATGCTATTGTATGAGCAAACCACAATTTACTAGTAATTATCTGTTCTATTCTTCATGGAACTTTGGTTGTTTACAGAAGTGTGTAAATATTCTATAACTATTTTAACCAATTCCTTTTGTTGGACATTGAGTTTATTTTATTTCCTTTATAGACAGTACTGTGATAAATATTCTGAAAGACAAACCCTTATGCACATTTTGTTCTTATTTTTCTTTTTTATTTATTATTTTAAAAATTTGAAATTATTTCAAACATATAAAGTTATAGAAAAACATAACACACATTTAGGTATGTACTGTTAATATTAAACTGATACTAACAGTTTGCTATATCTGCTTCAGATTTCTCTTTATTTTATTAAATTAATTTTAATTTTTCAATTACAGTTGACATACAATATTATATTAGTTTCAGGTGTACACCCCAGTGATTAGAGACTATATATATCTTATTAAGTGATTATCCCAATAAATACTCATCTGACACCATACACAGTTATTAGAATATTTTTGACTATATTCCCTATGCTCTACTTTACATCCCCTTGACTATTCTGTACCTACTAATTTGTACTTCTTAATCCCTTTACCTTTTTCACCCATCCCCCAAGTCACCTCCCACCTGGAAACCTTCCAAATGTTCTCTGTATCTATGAGTCTCTGTATCTTTGTTCTGTTTGTTTATTTTGTTTCTTGGATTCATTTGTTGATAGATATGTATTTATTGCCATTCTATTGTTCATATTGTTTTATCTTTTTTTCTTCTTAAAGAACATCCACAGGCAACTCAAGTGAATTCCTGCAGTTACAATTACATGCAGATCTTTATAAACTGGTGACCAAAGTTAAGGCGTGAATATTCTCAATATACATGTCAGTCCATTATGCTGGGCTGAGAGGACGGGCTGGGACCCTGTCAGGTCCTCAGGACCTTGGAGAGAGACATGTAATCCTCTACAGTGCAAATTGCGGACTATTTAATTCCTACGGGAAGGAAGAACCTTTTCATGTTTAGTTACTACTTGGTCATTAGATTCTCTCACCTACTTAAGTTTGTTGTTTTGTAGGGTTTTAAAGTCATCTGTGGATATGTATTGACATATTTAGTAGATTAGGCGGAAAGTAAGATAAGTTTTGTATTATTAAAGACATTATATTATTAATGTCTTTGAGGGTTTGTGATAAGAATCATCCTACATATTTCCCATGATAAGGATAAAAAGAGATGGACTATGTGAAAATGCTTTGCATCCTGCGATCATCACTAATAATCACTCACTGAATAGGTGACCAGGTATTCTGTAAGAGATTTGTCTTCTCTTTTGTGCTTTTTTCACTTCATGTTTGATCCCTGAAAAACATTTTCTTGGTACTTGGGAAGACACATTGGCCAATTTGATGTTGGACCAATTTCTGTAAATTGGCAATATTTCTTGATACAAATACCAAATGAACAGCCTGTGAATTGCAAGAGACTCAGAATTGATGCTGGCCATTTTCCTGCCACACTGACTCACATTTTCATTTATAAAATGCGAGTCAAAATTTATGCTTCAAAGAGTAGTTGTAAGAAATAAATGAGCTATTTGTAAAAGCACTTCACAAATACATAGTGCTGAACAATTGTACCACTTTACTAGTTGCTATTATTCTCCTTCAAAACATCCTCAGGTGTAGTGTTACCACCCTTATTGTCTGTAGTCTATATCTTTTCAACTTTTCAAGAGATATTTGGAAATTTACTCTTAACACTGAGATTTATGAAGGCACAGCTTTATTTTCCCATCTCATCACGATAAAGGACATGCTATTTCAGCTGTAACTAATATAAAAAAATGTTGCTCAATTACATGTATCTTAGCCTAAATGAACATACATCATTATGTTGTATACTTTACTATTTGTAAAATAGCTGTCAGCTACAGATACATTAGCTTATCCATTAAAGTTCGTTAATGCTATTGTCACAGAAACTGGGACTCTAAAAATGAATAAATGTCCATATGTTATTATTAAAGTAAGAAACATTTATCTTGTGACAACCTTGGTTTTCAGTTGCTTTATTTCCATTACATAAGCGTCAGGCAGGAATTGTTGACTTTGAAAAACATAAGGTCTAGTTACTTCATCAACAGAGAAAAAGTCTTCCCATTAAATGCTAGATATGGTCTGAAATTCTAGATGCCAGTTCAACTTCTTGATTTAAAACATTTTCATTTGTATAGTCTTTTGATACATATTATAAGTAACAATACAAAATTCAGAATTTTTAAAGGGTATATAATAAAACATCCCTTTCCCCTCCCCATCTAGCCATTCAGATCTTGTCCTTAGAAGCAAATAGTGTAAATGGTTTCTTTTGAATATTCCATAGATATTTTATGTGTATTAAGACATATATTTGCATTTATAGCTATCTTCATTTTTTACCCTGTTATGGGATGAATTGTGTCCCCCTCAAATTCATATGTTGAAACCCTCGCCCCAGTATATGACAGTATTTGGAGAAAGGGCTTTTAAAGAGGTGATTAAAGTAAAATGAGGTCATATAGGTGGGCCCTAATCCAAAGTAACTGGTGTCCTTATAAGAAGAGACAATTAGGCCCCTGCTGGTTTGGCTTAGTGGATAGAGCATCGGTCTGCAGACTGAGGAGTCCCAGGTTTGATTCTAGTCAAGAGCATGTACCTCAGTCTCTCTCACATTGAGTCTCACATTGATGTTTTTCTCTATGTGTCTTTCCCCTCCCTTCCACTCTTTCTAAAAGCCAAGAAGAGGGGTTCAGAAGAAAACAACCCTGCCAACACTTTGATTTTGGTGTTCTTGCCTCCAGCCCCTGGTATACATGTACCTTCTCCCAGTTATTCAATGAAACACCCACCTAGGAACTCCTGTGATGTCATTTTTTGGATGTAATTGAGTTTTCAGATCAGTTGTGTCAAGATAAGAAGATTATCTGGTGACAATTTCAGGTGAAGGGGGTCTGGGGGGCGGTCTGGGGATTACCTGACCACATAAACCCTTTAAGAGCAGAGAGTATTTTTCCATCGGGTTACAGAAGGGGAAGTCAGACATTTGAAGGATATGAAGGATTTGATGCACCCTTGCTGACTTGAAGATGGAGGGGGCCATGTGGCAAGGATATGGGTGGCATCTAGATGCTAAGAGCAGCTTCCAGATGACAGCCAGCGAGGAAGCCAGGACTTTGTGCCACAACCCAAAGGAATTGAATTCTGCCAATAACTAGAACGTGGAAGTGAATTCACCCCCAGAGCCTTTAGATAAGAATTCAGCTTGGCCAATTGATGTCAGCCTTGTGATACTCTGAGCAGGGAACCCAGCCTTGCTGTGCAAAACTTCTGACCTACAAAACCGTGTGCTAATAAACGAGCATTGCTTTACGCCGTTCAGTTTGGGGCAGTCGTGGTTTTCTAATGGAGAACGTCTTCCTGATCTGAGGGAACCGAGTTCTGAATTAAAGTGGCAGGTTCCCTTTTTAGCAGAAGCCTACTGTCTGGTGCCAGAACACATCCATTGTATCTTCTTCCTCCATTTTCAACTGTCATTGATTTGCTTACCTGTCTATTGGCAGAATCTGATCGGCCTCATTGACAAACCCTGTCATTCACAATAGACTTTCACTAGTTTACTAAGTAGTGTATGCCTGTTGATCTTAAGCTGCTCCACAATCCATTCTGCCTCTCCACATCCAAATTAATATAATCATGGTTCCCAGTCTTGAAACCATCCTTGGGCTTTTGGCCATGGCAAGCCCTGCGGTCTCTCGGCTGCTATTTCACAAAGAGAGTACCAGTTGTCATCAAACCAGCACACAGCAGCACCAGGGGCAGCAGAAGGAGGTGACTGTGGTCAAAAGCATTTCTTAAAATAAAACCCTTGAAAGTATAACTTTAATTTGTTGGAACCTATTAGACCAGGGCAGGGATTGATTTCCAGGTGATTAATTATGAAATAACTAAGACTTAACCAAAGAAGTCTGAAATTCCCAGGTAACTGAAATAATTGTGGAAGATAAAGCTCTTAGCAAGGAAGGACTTCTCAACACAGCCAAAAGAACAACAGTATCAGCATCAATAAATATTTGGAAATGAATTTAACAAAAAAGTGCAGAACTTAAACCCTGAAATCTATAAAACATTGTTAAAAGAAATTAAAGAAGATTTAAATAAATAGAAAGATATCTCAGGTTCAAGGATCAGAAGATAATATTATCAAGATGGAATACTTCCAAAAGTGATCCACAGAGTAATTCAATGCCATTCCCATCCAAATTCCAGCCGAGTCCTTTGCAGATATTGACAAGATGGTCTTGTCTTCATGAGCTCCTGCTCCTCTTTTGGAACTTCTCCATGGTCTGCTGGGCTTCCTCATAGCGTGGTGACTGGGTCCCAACAAGAAGGAGCATCCCAAGAAGGAAGTAGAAGCTACTGGTTTCTTGGGACCTGGGGCTAGCAACTGGTACCATTACTTTTGTTGCATATTATTGGCCAAACGGTAGCAGAACCTAGATTCAAGAGAGGGGACATAGACCTAAGACCTCAACTCTGATGAGAGGTGTGTTGAAATTTGGATGACGTGTTTTATAACTGCCACACCCCATAGTAATTTCCAGAGCTGAGATGTGAATCCAGTTGTGTCTGAATCATAGAGTTCAAAGTCTTAAAAATCCTGCTTGGCATTTCAAATAGGAGGGGTGAGAGATGGTGGGATAGAATAATGGGAAAGCTATTTAAAATATTTTTTGTTGTATTGGAAGGGGTAGTGGTTAATTGTTATATTATCCTGCTCACAATCATGACCGTTTTGGAAAAAAATATTTGCACTATTTATGATGTAATTTTAATGCAGAGTTTCTGGAGATGCAAAGGTAACTTATATGAGAGATGAGTCTATTAAAAGAACAAATAGGAGAAGGGCTTGTTTCCCTTTTAGCAATAGATCTGAAGTCTAGACTTGCCGTGAGCAAGAAGAGCTCTGTTTATGCTTTGGTTTCATCAGAGAAGAGCAGGGTCTTTATTGTGGGCATGCCTCCACTCAGCCCCAAGTTACTCACCCGGCTTTAATCCTGGGCTACAATGGAAGCAGTCAAAACCCCATCATCATACCTGACAGGCAGGGCATGTGCCAGCCTGATCTGAACCTGGCAGCACATCAAAATGGGAAGTCAAGTCTTCATTCAGCTGTTGGTTTTAAGATGCAAATAAAATCTAACCCTTTCCCATTCTATTCTGTCACTGCCCCTCAAAATTCCTGCCCAGAGGATAGTAAAATTCTAGCCATTGCCCACATTCTCTTTGGGGATCTTGGATTCTGCTACAACTAGAGATGAAGATTGGCATAATTCACAGTAGCTAAAAGATGGGCTTCAGTGAATACAACATGGTAAATAGGATCTCATGCATGGTATTCGAGTGTCATTACTAAAACAACACACAGAGTGGGTCCAGGGTACATTATTTTCCCGTGGTATTCATTAATAAGGAGAAAACAGTCATTTTTGCTAACCATCGAGCTTATTTTCTAAAATAAATCATCCTGACTGGGATACCCAAGAGCTGCCCTCCTGGACCACAGTGGGACGACTCCACACACAGCATGGCAGAGAGGGTGCCTGCCCTGTGCTACCTCTGGGTCCTGGTCCCCAGAGCAGTCCAAGTAAAGCGCTCCATGAAGGTAAGTCACAGGAGTGGCCTGCAGACTTGGCAGCAGGATGGCTGCTTAGGTAGATCTATTAGAGGAACAGGCAAGAAAGCCACGTCAGGAGGTGGATGTCTGCCAGGACTTGTCTCCTTAGGACTAGGAAGGGTGAGGGATCTGGCACAGGACAGAAGGGTCAGAGGGCCCAGAGAGGTTTTTCTTTCCATGCTTCCTTGTCCTGAGTGCTCAGGGGACTCCCAAGAACACGCTCAGAATCTGGGCCCGGTGGGGCTGCTGAGCACTTTGCTGCTGCCTCGCTCCGGCTGGAACCCTTCCGCTCCTAATGGACCAGAAGCCATTAGCACCATCGATTGCTGGCCAGGATGCGGTCAGCTCCTCCCTGGGTGATCAATGAGGTGGGTGTCAGGCAGGAGCACTGCCTGCCTGCCTTCCCAAGATGTGGTCCAGGCAGCACTGGAATCCTTTTAGCCTGCGTCCTTAATCAGGAGTAGAGACATCAAAAGTTGAAGAAGAAAAAAAGCCAGAGAGAATTTGAGGTTGACAATTTGACATTAGTGATAGTTTGAGGTAGATACTTGTTTTGGGGGATGGGACAGTTGGAAGAGCAAATTTTTGGTTGGGCAGTTAATTTTTGGAGCAGTCAGGGTCTGAAGTAAAGGCTTAAAGTCCCTCTGTGGCCTTTGCCTTCCTGACTTCTGGAAGGGGGTTTGCCTGTGAGCCCCAGGCTTGGCCCTGCAGGGAGTGTCTGCATCAGTCCTCACTAGGCAGAGCGCATCGCAGTCACAGCTGTATTCTCCCTCCCAGGGGATTTAAAGATCAGAGATTTCAGGGCAGGGAGGCCTATTGCTTGCATAGCAGACTCTTTTTTTAATTATTGAGATAAAGTATACATAACATCAAATTACATAACATTTTTAAGTCTACATTTCATGTCACTCAGTACATTCACCTTGGTGGGCAACCATCACCGCCATCCATCCCCACAACTTTTTCATCTTCCCAAACAGAAACTCTGTACCCATTAAACAATAACTTTCCATTCCCTCTCCCCCCAGCCCTTGGTCACCACCATTCCGCTATCTGTCTCTATGAATTTGACTGCTCTAGGTACTTCATATAAGCGAATTCATAGTCTTTTTGTCCTTTTGTGATTTTCACTTACCATAATGTCTTCAAGTTTCACTTACATTGTAGCAAATGTCACAATTTCCTTCCTTGCATGTTCACATGGTAATATTCCACTTTATGCTTACACCACATTTTGTTTATCCAGTCATTCATTGATGAAAGTTGAGTTTATTTCTACCTTTTGACTATTGTGATCAATGCTGCTCTGAGCATGAGTGTACAAATATCTTTTTGAGTCCCTGTTTTCAATTCTTTTGGGTATATACCCAGACCTGGATTTGCAGGATCATATGATAGTTCTGTGTTTAATTTTTTGAGGACCTGATATACTGTTTTCTACAGCAGTTGTATGTTACATTCCCACAAGCAATGCACCAGGGTTCAAATTTCTTCACAACCTTGCCAACACTTGTCATTTTCTGTTTTGTTGTTATCGTTATTATTTGCTTTTATTTTTATGGTAGCCATTCTAATTTGTATGAAGTGGTATATGATTGTGGTTTTGATTTGCATTTCCCCAAATGGCTCATCATGTTTTGCATCGTTTTATGTGCTTTCTGGCCTTCTGTATGTCTTCTTCGGATAAATGTCTATTCAAGTCCTTTGCCCATTTAAAAACATTGGTTATTTGTTTTTTTTGCCTTTGGGTTGTTATTCTTTCTATACTCTGGATATTAACCCTTTATGAGATAGATGATACACAGATATTTTCTCCCATTCTGTCAGCTGCCTTTCACTCTGGTGATAACATCCTGAGATGCACACAGTTTTAAATGTTGATGAAGTCCGATTTATCTATTATTTCTCTTTTTGCCTGTGCTTTTGTGTCATATACAAGAAATCACTGCCAAATCCAATGTCATGAAGTTTCCCCCCATATTTTCTTCTAAAAGTTTAACACTTTTAGTGCTTATGTGTAGGTCTTTGATCCATTTTGAGTCACTTGTTAATGTATGATATAAGGCAAGTAAGAGTCCAATTTCATCCTTTTGCATGTGAATATCCAGTTTTAACAATACTGTTTGCTGAAGACAGTGTTGTGGATTGTAGTAGGCATTCTTTTTTGACTTTGGTAGATTATGGTCCCCCCAAACCCTTCAGATTCCATGTAGCTCTAGGTAGGTTTAAGTCCCTGCTGTAAGTCTGACTCTGCTTTGAACCTTAGGGGTCTGCATTTAGAAGCCATTTTTATGAAAAATATGAATCTATACCAACAAAGTAACTTCCATGATGGCAAGATGCTCAGTAGGTGTGCTGCCCCGGACCCAGGGATTGTCCACAGGGACAGCAGAGCCCTCACTCTCACTCAATGATCATTCCAAGGTGCTCACCTGCCAGGTGAGAAGGTATGATACTGGTAATAGTACATTGTGTCTCTCTCACTCTGCGGATCGCAGAAAGTTTAAACTTGCATGAGTTAAAAGGCATGTAGTATGGCCCCACTGTGAGCCATAGGCAACTGAACAGCTGGCTTACTTGCGGGTTCCAGAATCCCTCCTGGTCTACCCTTGCCCTGCTCCTCGTAGGCCCTGTCAACTGGGAGTGCCTTGGCCTTTGACTCAGTGTGGCTTTGGCCTTGGCTCTGCTCCTGGACCGATGGCTCCTTGTGATTTGGCTTCTCGGTGGCTGGAACACGTTGGCTCTTGGATTGTTGTTTGTCGAAGCTTGGTTTGCTTTTGGATTTACTTCTCAGATTAGACTGCTGGACTGTGGGGCTCAGCTTCACAACTGAAGGGCCTGTCCTGCCCCCACCCTTGTACTGGTATGTGCCTGGCCACTGCCCA